ATCTGTATTGAATTATACTAAAATGGCATCTGTTAATTTTTTGTTACTTGTCCCATGTTGCACATACAATGAATTCTTATCTTGGCCATATAGCCACAAACTTATCCCATGAACTAACATGCCATTTATTCAGATAAAATATCATTTGGGCCATATTAATACGCATTAAATATTAATTACCGACGTCTTAAACGCGATTATACGTAAGATACTATACAATGTCAAACTCCCGAAAAAGAAAAAGTAAATAAAATCTTGCATCAAGCTACAGGGAACTTTAAAGCCCTTAACAACAACGTTTGTTGTATTTCTCCACTTCCATTTTCCCCATTTTAGGCATAAGAATAACTCCATCCATAAAATCCCTATTAGTCAGAAGTTCATTCTGGAATCGAAACTCATTAAGTAAAGTTTTCCATTTTGATACTCATTTACCCACTATATACATACACACATATATAGTAGGTAAATGGAAGTCAAAATAGAAGTGTAGACATTTCATATATTTATACACGTATTCGGGATATATATATATATATATATATATATATATATATATATATATATATATATATGATAAAATATAGTTTAAACGTATGCTATAATTATATATATAGTGGGTAAAAAAAAAGAACTCTCAACAACACCATAACTTAGTTACCTTCCCTGAAGCGTTACAGAACCCAATCACACACCACTCAGCGTTCTTTCACCTCACAAGTATATATATATATATATATATATATATATATATATATATATATATATATATATATATATATATATATGTTGAAAGTTGACTAATGCATGGAATAATAATGCAACACAAAATGTACTTAGAACAAAATGTATTGAAACAAGAAAAGTGTACACAATATTTACATATAGTCTTTTGTATATTCCTGGTAAGACCGTTCCTAGAGAATGTGTTAACTGAGTCGCAATGGGGCAGAGTCTCTGGTTGAATCTCTTGATTCCTCTCTCTCTTCCCGGTACCAACCATATTTATATGGTTGGTACTCCTATGCAAATTAGGTGGATCCTACCACAACAATATATATATATATATATATATATATATATATATATATATATATATATATATATATATATGCATATCTATATGTGTGTGTGTGTTTGTGCATATCTGTGTGTGTTTGTGCATATGTGTGTGTGTGAGAGAGAGAAAGATAATATTATATATTTTGTATATCAAGAACAATATTGGGGAAAATGTATGACAAAGTGGAAAAAGTTTACTTGTAACGCGTTTCGTTCTTCAGGACTTCATCGGACTAATAATGTGCACACGAATGAGGGCTGCTGAGAATTTTAGAATTTTTTTACCTTGTCGAATTCATTTAGAGTCTTTTTCTTCCCTTCATTTTTGTTAGGAGGTATTGCACACTGTGATAATAAAAAATCTGCTAGGAATGGTAAAATTTTCTAAGAGCCGAGGCACAAATTTACTGTAGATGACTTTGCGATCAAGGCACTCTCTAGACATTTAGTCATAGTGAATTGTCTTCTCATTTGATCGAAATAGTATTTTTTTATCTCAAAATTGTGCTCAGTCTTGTTACTGTGGACAACTAACGTATTTGATGCATTGTTTTTTAAAATGTCTCTTTTGTGTTCATATAATCTTTTATTTAGATTCCTTGAGGTTTTTCGGATGTATTTTTTGTGATAATTATTATGGGCGGTACAGTTTACTCCTCCTTCAGGTTTTAGTTTATTGTTTTGTTTAGTATTGACTAAGTCTTTTATTGTTTTGGGTAATAGTAACAAATTTTATGTTGAGTTTAGATTAATTATTTATCATAGGCGTTTAATTTTTTTTATTTTCGAACACGCCTGTGTCTTTTCCCAGGGAAAATTAAACTAAAATTGTACTTTAAAAAATATATAATAAAATATTATATTGCACATGCTTCGATGTGTTATAGGATTTGGTATTTTTATTAGAGATTTGCCTAAGAGTTAACAATTGATCAAAACATAGTTTATTGTTACATGTTGTGGATGTTGAAAATTGTAACTGCAAAAGAATGAAAATACAGATTATAAAACAAAGTTAATTTTGAAGAGTCGGCTTTTTGTGGAACTTGTATTCACTAAGTATACCTAAATTTCTTTTTAAACCTAGAACCTGGAATTTTATTCTAAAAATAAACCATAACTAATATTTTTGGTGGTCTTGGCAGCTAAACGATTGCACTAAAAAGATGCATCTAATGTTATCAATTCTATGTTCCGGCTGGATGAAATGTACAACTAAAGTGAAATTGATATTGTTATCTTTAATGGTTTGTTGTGGTTATTAAACCGAGGATGGAATTTAGTACCAGTTCCATCAATGTAATTATCTTTGTTTTATATATCACAAAAAAATTAGATATATTACATTTGAACTGTCATAAGTCAAGGGAGGTGGTCGAATTATTATGTGTGCCAGGCGTAGTAAATATACTATCGTTAATGATATGTTTACAAAGTTGGCATCGAGGTTTATTACATGTTACGTTGCCTTCGTGAATCATTGTTCGGCTGGCAAAGATATGGCATATGTCTACGAAGATGATTTTAAGTCTTGAGAAAGATTTATTTTTACGCTGACAGGTGGAACAGGTAAAATTACCTTCCGAAATATTGTTACGGGTAACAATTGCTGGTTGAGCGCCGACAGTCTGATGGATTTTCATGTGAGGTTTAGAGCACCTGTGATTTTATTAGTATTATCACACTCTGGGCAAAATTAATTTTCAGAGAGAGGAGGGTAGACAGATGCAGAGAGAGAGAGAGAGAGAGAGAAACTGACTTTTCCGCACAGTTCCATTTTATATTTTCGACATTATTTTACCGTTTTGTTTCTACTATTTTTCAGGAAACTAATTCTGTTCTCCAAAAATGTTAAATCTTTTTTGAACAAAGAACGCCTCCAATTTCCTTTCTTCCTGAGACCCATTGTTTTTTCATTAAGAGAATTCGGTAACGACCAGAACGGATGCTAAACCAAAGACTAAATATATGTTAAATACAACAGATAGGTGAAGATTTCCCAAACAATATTTGTCCGATTCTCAAATTCTGAACAGTCATCTTTTGTCAATTGCCGAGTTCACTTGGTCTAACAGGGAGCAGTACTTATCCGACTCTGTATATCAACTCTTCGAGAGTAATACATAATAGAGTAATTACTTTTAACCCCATTATATACAAATAATTAATCTCCTTGGATGAATACCGGCGTTTGGTACGATTAGAGGTTATTCAATTTGCTTGTTCCACAATCTCTTGCAGTCTACTTTTTATCGCTCGTTAAAATTTGTTTAAAAAACAAGGTATATTCCTTACATTTAAGTAGTGAATGCAGTACTGAAATAATGTCATGTAAGTATATTTTTTCTTTCCTTTATGTGGAAACCTCATATCAAAGTGATTAATATAACTATGTTGGATGTTTTGTGTTTGATTTCGTTATTTCGAGTCTATTGATTCTCTTCCGCGTCGTATAACGTTGATTATCCTCAAATAATATCATAATTCGATTGCTTATCAGCAGTTTGGCATAAAACTTCGCAAAACAATTTTGACGTTCGATGATTGACAGTACCCACAGAAAATGCACAAATGGTTTTATTTTTATCGCTTGGATTGTATTTTTATTTTTTAAAGTTAAAAAGCATAATATGCTGAATATTTTGCTTAAATTTCTTCTATCTTCATAATGAATAAACAAACATACTCCAATTTTGATAAAATATGTTAAATGTCGCTGATATAATATTTATTACGACATAATCAAAAGCAAAGTTTTAGAATGAATTTCGTTTAAAGTAAGCATTCTTAATTCCATCTAAGGGAGGAAAAAATCTAGCCAAATATATATCGGTATGTGTATGTGTGTACGTGTAGTTGTGTATGTGTTCATTTTGACATGGAAATACTAGTGGGATTCTCAATAAGTTCGTGAGTTACCGTACCTATTAGGTAAGCCGAAGAACATAATCGAAACGGAATAAAAATAGCAAAGTTTCAGATAGCAGTCCGAATAATTTGGCGAATAAGAAGCCTGTATCATTTCAAAACTACAGATATTTGATTTTCACAATAGTCCCACTTCAAAAAGGTTTCTTTCGATTGTTGAGAGTTGTGATTTTGATTAAAAATAAATCACAAGAAGAGACAATTGATTTTTCTTTTTTATTCAAATGGTTATTATTTTTATTCTTTATTTTTTTGAGAATTTTCAGCATTCAGAACAAAGAAAAAACTTTGATTTTTCTTATTTGATATTCTTTAACAGAATACGGATAATTCATTTGAATTTTTTTTAATCGATATCCCCCAACGCAAGGCAGTAAAGCCACTAAGACAAGATGTTACAGGTTGTGGAAGAATTTAGAACAGAAAGATTGATAATGAACGTGAAGAGGAAAGAGTAACGTCGAGGACAGTAGATAGCGATTGGTATTGCATTTAAATTATGTTTTCAGTCGATTTCTTATTAAAGTAATTATCGACAATTTATCAGGTCAGAAAAGATTGTAATGTAACTGGCAAATATCTGATGTGTTTGTTGTATGAATCAATGATGTTAAACACAGTTATGAGCGAAGTGCTGAACGAAACAAAAACTAAAAAAACGATTTTGACGTTTGTACCAAAGAATTTATTGTTCATCATGCGCCATTTTCAAGAGAGATCATAAAGGAAAGGTTTACAAAACTAGTATCATTTATGACATCGAAAGCGTATTTTTGTAGACTTTCTATTAAATAGTTGCTAGCCTTTTTGATGTTTTGTAAATAGAAAGCGTCTGAGTTTACACTGATGTGTTATCATTCATCAGATGTTTGGGACGAGTGAAAGATAACACTTCTACGTAACGGCTAGCAACGGCAACCTGATACATCAGTCACCCTGGGGAAAGAAGATGTTTGCGACCTGTTTGATGTCTATTAACAACATCCCGCCTTTATCACTGCTCAATATTGATGGGTTTGCGTTTATTATTGTTTTCTTCTTTTTTTGTTTCTTTTCTTTTCATTTTTCTTTGCTTTTTTCTTTTTCTTTTTTACAAATGTTCTTTGGTGTGGACAGCTAGATCAGATTTGTTCAATAGGCGTTTGAATAACGGATAGGTCTCGACACCCCAACAATAAAGAAAACATGTAACTCACCGTCACTTGTGTTGGCAATCAAAAGGTGTAAATAGCGTGTATGGACTCTAGAGTATTTAACGCATTCTCGCCCCAACAGAATGACTTTTTGAAGAGTAGAAGCAGACATCAGTTGTCAGTAAAGGCTCCGAAATCGGCAATTAAACATCCAACCAAGATTCCCCAAGGCATTGGTTAAATTTATTAATAATAAATATAATCAATTGTAGCAATTAATACATGCATCTTTGAAAGTCTATTTTATTCTTGAATGTGTTGATTTGTTTTCTTTTCTTCTAAATTTTTACGCATGCTTTTTTATGAATAGTTGCACTGTAGAAATATCAGCACAGATATCACGACCTTTTAGCGTTCGTTTTATTTTTTATTTATGTTACAGTCATATTATTAGTATATATATACATGTGTATGTATATATATATATATATATATATATATATATATATATGTGTGTGTGTGTGTGTGTGTGTGTGTGTGTGTGTGTGTGTGTGTGTGTGTACTTTATTACAGGATATTACATTCAAACATGTATAAACTGCTACATAAATGCACTCACGTTTCGATGTATCATCACATCTCATCAGGCGTTAGTAAATGACTGATTATTATAATTATTAGGATTTACTTGCAAACAAACTCTTTTCCCTCAAAAAAAGAAGAAAGAAAAGAAAAAGAGCAAGAAAGAAATACGCAAGATATAATCTTTTTTCATTTTTTTTTATACACACACACACACACACACACACACACATATATATATATATATATATATATATATATATATATATATATATGAATGACAAAGTCCGACAATTTGTCTTAAAATAATTGTCGGACTTTGTCCATTTCATAATGTGTGACGTCATTTGTTTACATTTGGATACGCATCGAGCAGATATGAATGTGTGAGAGAAAATCATGGAGAATTGTAGTTTAAAAACAGTAAAATCAACCTTGCTAAGCAAAACTCTCCTCTGTTTCTCAATCGGTGAAAGCACGTCAGTCTATATGACGGTTCTGTATAGGATACAGGTTCGATTCCTGTCGGAGGACGCATATTTTCTATGAAAATTTCTCGGACATTCAGGCCGGTAAATGTTGTTAATACTGTTTATTATAAACAGAGCATTTGCTTAAATATTTGTATCTATAAAAAAGAACGTATAAATATAAAAAAATGTCTTAAAATATATACATGTGTGTGCGTGCGTGCACGCGCGTCCATTTTTGTGTGCGTCGTCTTACTTTTTTCATTAAACAAACGATAGAGGATCAACTATCATTAAGATATAGATTTAAAAAGTTATTAAATTTACCTTCTTGATTGCATTTAGAAACCTTCATGCGTTTTCAATTCCATTAAAAGATATAAAATTCGAAACAACCAAAAGAAAGCTGGACTGACAAAACAAAGTTCTTAGGATTTATCCCAATAACTTTTATCACCCGATATATTTTTTTCAAATTATTATTGTTTTCAACATTATTGCGTTTAACACAAAGTTTGGGCTGATATATACATCGGCCTTCTCCATCTATTAATTTTTAGAAATGCTTTTTCTTTTTTACTTATGTTTCTTATCATATCAACAGTTTGTAATATTTGGAATTTTCCACAGTATGAAAATCAGGAAAATGTTATATTCTTTGATGAAAATCCTTTCATCTCATTTGTTCTGGCATGAACACATGGCATTAACACAAATTACTTTAGTTCCAGTTAAGAAAATAAGAAAAATAGTTACGTGGAGTAATGGATAGCGGCTCGGATTTAGGAATCGGAGAGCCGAGTTCAAATTCCAGTCGAATCCGTTACGCGCTAATACCTTTCGGTAAGTTATGAATCCTCTTCTTCCCCCCACCCCACCTATGGGTAAATAGCATGACAGACTGGATTCTATAGCCTTGGACGGCAACTGGTCTACCGCGTAAAGAAATGGCAACCTTCTGCGGGAAAAAAAACATATCAGTTATGTATCGAAAAGATCGCCTAAGCGCATATTCATTCATGACACATAACTGACTGATTGTTCAACTACTTATAAAGACCACCGGATTAACAAACACCTTAGAAAAAACAATGAACATATATCGACCAAAATGTTGCCCTAAAAATAATGATGATGAAGATAGCAATCCAAAAATCTATAAAGTAATAACAATACTTCATTTTGGTATTTGCGAAAACAATAGCAGCCTTTTTTTTATTATTTATTAAAAAATACTTTCCTTCCGAAAACTCTTCTCTTTCACTTGACCATTTAATAAGTTAGTTTAAGTTGCCTGGGTTTATGATTTTCCTATTTGTAAATATTACTAAACACCACTGAACATTATAATCTTGTAGATTTTCTTGCAGCTGGTCATAAACTAAAAAGCTTTTTTATTCCTTTCCATTAAATTTTTTCCTATTAAATGATGATAATGAATACTTCGATCTATTTTAATAAATCTCTTTCGTTTTTCTCCCCGTCTATTATTGTCTATAATTATGGTAGCAAATAAAGTTTTATTACATTTTTCTACTACACTTGAAATAGAATTTTATATTAACGTGTTTCACGGCGCTGTCCACTGGGAATAAATCGACACAGAACATTGGCAATACATTCTTTTCCTGATTTCTGGCAACATTTGACGGTTTGTGTTGATCTGGCGTTGAATATTAATAAAAAGACAATTCTAAATGATATTACTCGAAGATTCACTCACTAATATTTGTCTCAAATTATTATTTTGGAGAAAGCTGAAAATAATAAAAAAAATAGATTATCTTTGGTCTTCTAAGAACACAAAATGTTTCATGATAAAATATCAAAAGTCTATTCATCCCAAATTAATTGTTTAACAGGGTATGGATGCTAATAATATATCCCTACTTCCAAGATATTCAAGCCTCTCTGTTTCCAAGGATTTTAAGGACCGTACCAGAAGAAGACGTTGATATGGTTAGTATTTTCCCCGTGTTGCGAAGAGGGGAGAAATTCAAATGCAAATTCAAGGCAGCGTTCTCTTTGAATACTAACAAACATTTCATATTTTAAAACTTCCTGACATTCAATTTTAAAATAAAGACATTATCTATATTTTTAGGCAATCAATATCTGGTTAAAATTCAAGAAAGAACAAATGGTTTAGTAAATATTTGGTTCTTTATTTACAGCATTTTCAATAAAGTGATTTAAAAACACACCTGTTTTTATGTTATAAAAAATGTATAATTTCTGAACAGACTTACTTGAGAAAATATTTTCGAATATTCTTCTAATAAATTCCAAATAGATGCAATATACAGACGCGAATGTGCCAATAATCTACACATTAACATTCGCGCACACATCATATATATATATATATATATATATATATATATATATATATATATATATATATATGTGTGTGTGTGTGTGTGTGTGTGTGTGTGTGTGTGTGTGTGTGTGTGTTAAGGGGGGTCCACCCTTTTTTCATACAAGTGGACTCGCCCAGGGTGTATTTGTACTTCTGCCAGTGAATACCTGGCAGATACGGAGTCAGACAGTGATATGGTGATACAGGAGAGTGTGAGAGTGTGAGAGTGTGAGGTAATCGCTTTGTAGGAGCCACAGTTGCGAGCATGTAGTCTCAGAAGGAGTCATACTTCGATACTGAATTTCCCAGACTGTATATATATTATTATTGCTACTAACCGTATTTCTGGATCTACTAACCGTATTACCAATTGTATTATTACGTCAATACATTTATTTGCTATATTTCATTCCTGCGTTTTGTCCTTCATTTTGAGGCTGGATTTCATCCCGGAGTCCACAACAATATATATATATATATATATATATATATATATATATATATATATATATATATATATATATAAGATAATCCTAAGGAGCTAGGCAAACCTACCTAGGTTTCACCTAAACGGATCGTCAGGGTAATGCCGGCATTACCCTGACGATCCGTTTAGGTGAGACCTAGATAGGTTTGCCTGGCTCCTTAGGATTATCTTAGGTTTTGCTCTACTTAGTGTATTGAGCACTTTACGTAGTTGTTTTTTACTCATTTTGTTTTTCTTTTCTTTGGACTTGGAGCTTAAACACTGGACGATTGTTTTCGCCGTGTTTTAATGTTCTTGGTTCTTTCTTTTTTTTATTCCCTATTTTTCTTCGGGGGACAGATTTGCTCTACTGTAAGTTGAGCTATCCGAGGTTTTTCCAAGCGAGTACCACCATTTATAATTTATATATATATATATATATATATATATATATATATATATATATATATATGCATAGACTCTCCGTCGTATTCGACGCATGAGGGTCAAGCAACTCAGTTCCTAGGAACCGACATTCCAGACACCAGCACGTATGATTTGATTGTAGCGGTGAAGGCTTTGTGCAGAACCAACCACACTTTTTGAAAAGCCGAACAGCGAGACCTGGTGCAAACACGTGCCACAAGGTCCCCAAACGATCCTCAGCAGGTTTTGAATTCAGAGTTGTCCTCCTTCAAGATCAGTTACCATCCAAGGCTATAGAACCCCCAGTCCCCCTGTTCTCCTATTTACAAGAAGAAGAGCATTTATACCTTCCCCAAGTGTATTAGCAAGTGAATGTCCTGGATTCGACAGGAATTCGAACTCGGCTCTCCGTTTCCTCAATCCGAGCCGCTATCTATTATTTTAAAATATTTACTATATATATATATATATATATATATATATATATATATATATATATATATATATATATATATAATTTAAGCGTCAAAGAAAATCCTTACCAGTACCAAGCCTGCCAAAGGGGAAAACATGAATAGGACAAAAGAACGACAAAAAACGAAAACATACTTGTCGAAGCAAAAACGTAAGGTTTGCCGTTTTGATTAGATTAAATATCGCCGTGTATACC